AAAAACGCACCCCTCACAAAATGAGTTTTTTAATGCACTTATTCACTACACTTAATTGCGAAAATACACATCCATTACGTAAGAAATCATTATTTCAAATTTATAATGTATTGGTGCAACCACACTACTTCTGATAAGTGAACGCACGTGCAAATCCCATAAATTTGTAATTCAATGATACAAAAAGTTAAAAAAACACACTAATATCGCATAAGTAATCATTTATATTATGTAATTCTATTAACAATATCATTCATTAAGCCGTTTTACTCATAAAAAGTGAAGAGACAAAAAAAATAATTTATCCAATAAAATTTTGAACCTTAAAAATTAATATTCTACATATAATATTTCTAATGTATTTTGTAATCTTTCTCATCTTTTTTCAATTGTAATGTCAATTTATATACTTTATTTGATTTTAATCTCATAAGTTATAACATCCATTACGTAAGAAATCATTATTTCAAATTTATGATCTATTGGTGCAACCACACTACTTCTGATAAGTGAACGCACGTGCAAATCCCATAAATAAAATTTTAATTCAATGATACAAAAAGTTTAAAAAAAATACTAATACAAAAGTAATCATTTATATTATGTAATTCTATTAACAACATCATTCAAGCCGTTTTACCATCAAAAATGAAGAGACAAAAAAAAAAAATTTTTCCAATAAAATTTTGAACCTTAAAAATTAATATTCTACATATAATATTTCTAATGTATTTTGTAATCTTACTCATCTTTTTTCAATTGTAATGTCAATTTATATACTTTATTTGATTTTAATCTCATAAGTTATTTTTTTTGTCCGTAAATTTAATTTTTTGCGAAATTAATTTTGTGAATTATAACTAAAACTAAATTTAATAAGAAATATGTCATAAATTAAAAATATAATTGTGTAATCACACTGGCTCTGATAAGTGTAGTCGCGTGTACAATGAAAACAAGAATGTTTTTTCTTCATGATATTAATTATATGCAAGATAAAGAAAATTAAATAAATAAATATTATTTGGAAGAAAACAAAAACTATTTCTAATGATTTATTATAAGTTTCTGTTCGAATTAGGTAATCTGCTTTTACATAAGATTTATTATGGTAAACAAATTTTGTGAAGTGAGAATCTAAGATTATTAATTTTTTTTCTGATGTGTAAATTTTTGATTGCGTCTGGTCGTTTCTGGTGCTCGAACTTGAACGATTGTGTAACGCAATAAGAAATCGAGAGCCTCGGTTTCGGTAGTCCATAAAGTCGAATGCGATCGGGGGCCGTAGTTTCGCCTGTAAAATGGTTATGTAATATGCGTGGAGTGTATTTATAAGCGGCGTGTCGCATGTTTACATGGGCAATAAACAGACAATGCGGAATTATGGCGCATCCCCATAGTCACATTGATTCTGTAATTGTGTTTACATCACTCCGGCCGCCAATATAAACTGGTCGGCCCTTCTACATCGTCCCTCGTAAACAGAATTACCAGTCAATTAAAAGCCGAAACCGTTCGATCGAAACCACCAACCCTCAGGCCCTTCAAGATTACATAACGCAACTGTTTCTATATATATCGTATACGTATATAAATATAAATTGTTCTTCTCTTTCCATTTCGTTTTCGTAACACCGGTCGCAATATCGCTACCTCTTGGGAGGGCTCCGTAGAGGAGGAAGGGCCATTTTTAAGGGAGCCGCCTGAGGAGGGGGCGGACGGGGGTTTCTTTCGCGCCGCCCGCATGATTTGTCGCCCCCCATATATTCTTTTTTGCTACTCCGCGGAACGAATTACGGGGGCTGCTCTCGAAAGAGGAGGAGGAAGCAGAAGAGGGAGATAGGCGGAGTAGGGTGGAAAAGAGTGGAAGAGGGTGAGAAAGAAAAAGGGAATTCTAGATCCCAATTAAAACTTGCATATAAATCTACGGGAGCCGAAAAACGGGTGACAGGGTAGAGAAACAGAAAAGGAAACTAAAAGTGGATGAAATTACTCAAAAGAAAAAAATATATATGTGTGTAGGGGAAGGGGGTGAAACTCTCGCATATGGCACCCCCCAATTATTTTTAAAACTTCCCTCTCTCTCTCCGGTGTTTGTTTCCTCTTCGTCGGAGACGAAAATTTTCCAAATTAATGAACATTAATTAGAATCCGTAGATTTATTCGAGACTGCGAGTCGTAGTTTAAAAGGGGACAAATGATGGGTTGCACATGGTACAAGGGAATTATTTTTAAATTTTCTACTTCTTTGCTTCATCCTGAAAAAGGATAAAATAAAAGTTTCTTTAAGAAAATATCAAAATAAATTATGTAACAATTTAGATTTATTATAGTAAATATGGAATAAAATGAGAATTTGCTAATAAATTTAATTGATTTTATTAATTAACATTTTTTCTCTAATGATTTATTAACCATATTATAGGAATAAATAAATATAAATTGATTGCTCTATCAATCTAACATGTATAGATCGTATTTATTTATAAGATTGAGTAGAAATAGATAAAAAAAATAACAAGACTTTTATTTCTGGTGAATTTGAGCTGATGAAGGTTAAATGGCGTGTGAAATTTTCATTAATTCAGTAAAGAGGCCAAAGTTTTTTCTTCTTCTCATCTTTTTTTTGCTTCTCTTCCTCTTCTGTTTTCTTTTCTCGGCCAATTGGGTAGAATTGATTTGCGTTTTTGTTTGGGGGAAGGGAGGGTTAAATAAACGTCGGATGTTTATGGGAGTTCTTGATCAGCAGAAATGAAGGCAAACAGTTTTCTTTTTCCCTGATGGGTTCGCGTGCGTGTGCCGCCACCGCCGCTGCCGCCCCCACATCAGAATGAGTAAGGGCACCCCCGGTTTAAGAAGATTGGCTTTGGTTTCACAATGTATTGGGCTTTTATCAAATTGTGCAACCGCCGTGAAAATCCGTGAGTTATTTTTATTCGGTAATTTCGGTTATTGGGGGGCGTGTGCCTACAGAAGATTTCTCTCTCACTCTCGATGGTCCAGGGCCGAAGGGCAATCAGCCTCTGGGGAGGTGTCGAACGAGCCGCAAAAGTCCAATTCAGGCACTGTGCGAATCTTCTCCACCATTATTGCCACGTTACTCCCACGGTAAACGAGCAATCGAGACAGTTTGTAGCAATAAACGTTTCCATTAATAACGTTTATTTATTTTCCGACTTTCATCTCAATTATTTCTTTTAACTTTTCAAATTCTGATATTCCATATACCAAGTATAAAAGATAAATTAACAATAAATACAATAAATCCCGACAACTGAAATCACGACAACAATAATCCCGACAGTGTTAAAATCCAAACAGTATCAAACGAATCTCGGTTGAGGTTTCTTTGTACTTATGTATTTGTTTATACATACAAACTCTCATCTGTTTTACTTCTATATGAAATAATAAAAGTTGCTGTCGGTATTTTAACATTGTCGGGATTATGGTTGTTACCAAATCGAATGTTGTAATTTTAATTGTCGGGATTTCGGTTAAAAAATAACTAAAAACCATATAAATATGAATTGCAATATATTTTATAACATTATTTGTTAACAACAAAAATAAATGAAGTATTGTAAATTAATATGAAGTATTTTTTATTCAGATTAAAAAATAATCGTTTAATCGTTAATAAGAAAATATATTTCAAACAATTTCTGATAAGTTATCAAAATAATTTAAAGTATGTAATTTTATAGTAAATCATGCATATATAAATTATAAACTTGTATGATAAGAAATCATGTATATAATAAATTCGAAAGTTATATTATGAATGAGCACATATATTACGAATGAACAATTTTATAACGCCAATGAGTAATATAATGTAGTTGTTGAAGAAATTGAAGATTTTGCAAGAGAGTTAGAAAATGTTTGTCCTTGTCGAAATGTGAATAGTATTTTTTTTTTCGAATGTCGTCTTGCGATGCAAGCAAAACTCCCACGGAAACGAGGTTTTTTCTCCCCCTTTGCATTTTGTTTGAGTTGGGGGGAATCGAGGGGGAGCACGATAAGATGATCACGAGATATATGTGCGGAGGTGGAGATATCGTCTTCATTACGGCCGCTCGCTGCATGCTCTCGTTTTACATATCTCGATGCACGAAGATTACTAAACGACTTTTAATGGTTTAACTCATGCTATTGACGAAATACGAGCCCGGTTCGGTCGTAAGTAAGCAAGTAGCTCGTGTGTCTGTTTGCCTGAGAGCAGCAGCAAGAGCAGAGTGCGTTTTTCCGAGGGGGGAAAATATCTCAATCAGCTTCCATGCACGCAATTATCGATTGGCTCGTAAAGAATTGCACAGCACTCCTCCTCTTCTTCTTCTTCTTCTTCATCGTCATCATTGAGGAAGACTGAGAGAGTTAGAGGTGCCTCCATCCTCTGAGAGACTGAGAGGGTCCAAGGAGGAGGCCTCCTCCTCGGGTCTGGGCATAAAGACGCGAGATAAATTAATACTGGTCTTATTAATATACGAGTCTGGTGCACTTGCTCCGGCTGGCGATTCGTTTATCCAGATAAATACGGCCATAAATAACCCGTGGCTTCCAAAACTGTACGTGATTAATCACGCCCGTATTTACTGCAACTTTTTATTTATACACGTCTTCCTCCTCTACTTCTCTCGATCCCTCATCCTTTATCCAAAACTTTTTCTTCTCGCTTTATTTTCTCAACCCCGGATTTTATTTTTTGAATTATTTCATTGTCCGATGAGTTATCTCTACCTGCTGCGCGCCCCACCAATGGCTCCCCGAAACGCAGCGGGTCGCCCCCTCATACCTGTCCCCCAGAAGTGAAAATGAAGAGAAAGAAAAAAAATAGAAAACAACCTAGGAAAGGGAAAATAAAAAAGAACGAAATTTCTCCATTCCTCAGTCCTAAGCACGACCTCACCTCGCTCGTCCGTCCTCGCACCTCACCTCCACAAGCTTTTCTACTCGATATGTTAATTTTTTCCCCATTTTTGGTTTCAATTCTGCTGCAGGTGCAAATGGCTTACGCAGGCGGGGCAGGCAGACCTACACGAGGTACCAGACCCTGGAGCTGGAGAAGGAATTCCACACGAACCACTACCTGACGCGGCGGAGGCGCATCGAGATGGCCCATGCCCTCTGCCTCACAGAGCGACAGATCAAGATTTGGTTCCAGAACCGCCGCATGAAGCTGAAGAAGGAGATCCAGGCCATCAAGGAGTTGAACGAGCAGGAGAAGCAGGCCCAAGCCCAGAAGGCCGCCGCGGCCGCGTCCATCGTATCCCAAGTGGACCAGAACTAGTGGAATTAGTGCGCTTAGATGTCGGCGACGGTTGCGACCTATCCTCTGTAAAAAAAAGGTAAGCCAGAACCGCATCTTACCCACTAACACCTAGTATCTAGTGTAGCGTGCGCAACAAGGACTCAACTATCTTATACTATATATATATACGTAAATAATTAATTTAATGTTAGATAAGAATTATGTTTTGTTAACCTAATTTAAGTATGATCGTGAATTTTCAAAAATAAACTCGTTAAACATGAACACAAACACCGAATCTTGTTACTTCAAAAAAAAAACAACAACTAAAATCGAATCAACATCTAAACAACACCTATAACGCCGTGAAACGCCCCACTCCATCAACGCAAATTGCATACAATCCAACAACGATATTATTTGCTCTTCACGAGACCTACAATTTTCAATCTGCAACTGTGGGTAGCAATTAGCCTTTGGAATGGTACTTCAACGAATCGACCGAATGAGGCGAACAAAAAAAAAACAACAACAACAGGCAAGTCGAAGAAGAGAAAAACAACATCCAAAGAAGTTGACTGTCTTTAAACGCCCCAATTTCACAGCCGATTACCATCACGAGCCATTCGCAAAACCGACAGAATTAAAAGAGGTGTTTCCTCTTTATTTCTTTTTCATCTTCGTTTTTTTTTTCTTTTCTTTGATGCGTTTCTCCTCTTCAACCATCGTCGTCGTGCTCTTGGCGCGTTTAACGAGCTCACCGGATCGGAACGTTTCTTCGTATTATCTTTTTTTTTTTTGATATAATTATGATTTTATTGGCGCAATTAATTCGCATTGGGAATCGAATAATTATCAATTATAATAAGTACCTGTGCGTTTTCGTGAGTGAGCAGTAAAACGCGTGTTTGCTTTTTCATTAATGCAATTGATTTGTTGTTTGCTCCGGTAAATAGCAAATCGTTTGCTTGCAACATGTTTGTTTACACTGTTAATTAATTGTTGCTGCAATTAATATACGAAATCACAATAATAACTTTAAACGTTTTATGTGCAAACAGTTTCATTTTATTGAGAAAATAAAGACAAAAAAGAAGAATTTCATTTTAATATAGTTCTATAAAACGTAATTCATATGAATTGGAATTAATGCAATTAATACTGAAATTTCCATATTAACTTTAAAGTTTTCATTTTATTGCGAAATTCAAGACAACATAATAAGAAATGAAATAAAATACGTTCTTTATTTTTATTTTTTTTGGTGAAATATATTGCTAAATGCATAATTAGAAGTTATAAAAAAATAATGAGGAAAATTACAAAATAAAGTTTTTTTTTCAGTTTAAAATTTTAGGAAAATTAACATAATATCATTAAATAATTTTCTCTTAAGTGATAATATTTACAATACATTTGTAATCACGTAATTTGAAATAAATACATTAATTGAGAAGTTAAATATACGTAAAAGTTGTTGGATGAAACGTAATTAATATAAATATTAAAGTGTGTGGTCTAAATTAGAATTGGGAATGTATTATAAGGTTAAGGAATTGAATAATGCCAAGGTTTACTGGAAATGAGACGGCGGCGCTTCTACAAATATTTCACTAAGTATAGATTATACAGTCAAGTACACGCATCAAAGTAGGAGTGAAATATTTCCTTTTCGTGTCTGAAACTACGCAATTTATATCTTAATGAGCGTTAATCACAGATGTAGGTGTGATTTAAATAAATACGTTATTATCAAAACAAAAATCTTTACTTTGAGTTATATAAGAATCAGCATTTCTTACTTGATTTTTAACAAACAATTTTCAATATTTTGCTAATATTAAAATATACAAGCAAAACTAAATATAAAAAATAATTTTATATAAATGGAAAGGAACAATTAATAGAAATTAAAATAATTATAAAAATATGGAAACTTAAATAACTATAACTGTCATATTACATTATATAAGTATACAAAAAGTATATTTATTATATATATTTAGCAAATAAAGCTGGGTAAATATGAATGAATTTATTAGTAATAAATAAACTGAAATTTTATTTTGATGATTTCTTTGAAAGTGCAATAAATCATATAAGTTTGGCATCAGCGCCGTTGGAAACTAGCGACATCTAAATCTCGTAACAAAACTTCAAAGAAACTATGTTTAGATCAATATTGCAACACTTTATATACATCA